AGCTGAAGCGGTACCTTAGTTCAAAAGATTTATTTGACAACGGATTACAAGTATTCAGAAGATCAAAAAACAAATACATTTGTATGCATACAAAGGGCATTTTTCAGACAGACCTGCATCAGCGCCAATCTTCCAGCAAAATGCAACGACCTCTGCTGTGACTCTGCACCTTATCCTAGATTTCTGCAGCTTCGGCTTCTGATTGGTCTAAACACCCCGTTGTCATGGTTACGGGGCTCTTCTGCATGTTAGATAAGTCTTGGAGGTCACATACCGAAAGATAAAGTTTATGGCCCTTTGTTAGCTGGTGTTTTAGCTGAAGATTTTACCCTGAGCTGATCACACTTGTTAAACGATTAAATGCTACTTTCTATTATCTTTACTAATTATGTTTAGTCAACTATATTAAGTTTAAGCAAACTATATTGAGTTTAAAGTAGAGAAATGTGCCCAGAGACTCTTAACGTCCCCCAGCCTATGTGTGTGCGTGTCAGTCCCTGTGTGTGTGAGAGCGTAGGTGTGTGTGAGTGAGAACTTATACGAATGTGAATTAGCTGAAGATTTTCTCTAGTTAATGTAAGATTATATTTAAGCAAACTACCTGAAGTTAAGAGTCTATTTAAGCAAAGTAACCGATTAATACTTAAATGATTGTAAGGTAATAAAAAAAACCTTCAAAGAATGACACACTCATTTTATAACATGAAATTTCAAGCTTGATTAAAATAATAATAAAAGATAAAACATGAAATCCAACATTCCCTCTCTTGGTCTATCCTAAAAGATAGACCAACTACACCTCAAAGGCTACAGATATTTAACGTGATTATACCTTAGTGATACCAACTGATTTAAAATAAAGTTGTTTATTTCTAGGAATAATTAATAACTTAATTATTATCTAACTCATGTTTGTGTTTTTACTTGGATCCTTTTTATACTTGTTTTAGTTTAGTTTCAGTTGGATTTTACTTAGTCAAACTATATTGTCTAAATTAAAGAGATGTGTTCTAGCTTTATTTATGTTAATCAGTCTGTTCTCTGGCCTAATTTGATTGCTTGTAATCTATCAAATGTGAACTTGTAAAATTATCCTTAGCTAATATGAGATTATATTTAAAGGTCAACTAGTTAGAATTAGCAAACATTTTATATACACATAGTTCAACCCTGGAAGACAGACACGCACACCCTATATATGACATGACATTTGAATGCTTGATCGGAAATATAAAAAGGTATAAAATATTAAATTCAACATCCCCTCTTTTGAACTCCCCTATTCATGGGAGTTCACCCTTTTCATGGATTTGTCAATATGGAAGTGACGCAAACTTACTGCACTCTCCAGGGGTCCTGGACCAGACCCCTGATCCAACACCTGTGAAAAGTACCAAACACATAAGCCTCTATAAAAATACAAAAAGCGGCAACCTAGTAAAAGAGAAATAAGTAAAACTCTAATTTAAACCACCTTTAAAATACCTTGTGGTATTTTAGAATGATTAAATGCCCAATTGAATGGAGCAAAATATTTGAATAGTCAAGTTAAGTGAATAGTTAAGTTAAGTGAACAGTTAAGTTTCCAATTGAATCCACGACCCTTCTCTGGTTGTTTTTTAGACTGACTGAAAGGTAAGACAAGACACTCATATTAAACAGGAAAAGCCAACACCCTCAATTTAAACAGTACTATCTAGCAAGTCTTCAGTTCTTGAACTTGCGGTGGGAGGCCTTGTTCATCCACAAGGGTCCTTTGGTGCTCGGCGGGATTCGGCCCGCGGAGATATCTTCATGTAAAGTCCTCAGAACCTTATCAGTCTGATTAAACATTCTAAATTACGTGTGTGTATTGGGACAAAACTAAAATCAGTTTGACACGTCTTCTGTCCTTCACAGTCAGGGCTGGTAATCTTCCGTCCTTACCCGATCCACCTGACTGACAGACTTCAGGCAGAGCGGAGACTCCTTCTCCTACGCTTGCTACTGCCTTTTTCCAACCAGAGCAAAGGGGCAAAGAATGAGCTCCCACGAAGGTCCTGTCACCTCCTCCAGGTGTAGTGGGGAGCTGATGTTCCAGCAGATCAGCCTGAATCAGGTCCAGCAATCGATTCCGCTCCTCTCCAGGGGTGCACTGGTTGTGTGGTAGTAACAGGTGTCAGTCTCATTTTGGAGACTGATGGCGTGTGATGTTCTCTCCACCACCTGGTGGGGTCCTGTCCCTCTTTTCAGCAGGACCCAGTCCGATGTGAGTCTGTCTCCTCAGTCAGAGATTCTCCCTCCTGGTGAGAAAAGCTGGACACCAAAGCTTGCGAATTGTTAAGCACCCTGCATGGCCTTTTGATTCTCTTATCTGTGGAATCCATGACCCATTTGTGGGCCTGGAAAAATGACTGTGGTTACTTCCTAGTGAGTAAAATTTGTTTCTTAATTATGGGACACCCTGATGGTCATTATTGCTATTGATAGGTGTATTATTACACTGTAATGTTATACTAAAACAGAATTTGTAAAACTAAAATAAAATGCTATTCTTACACGCATCTATACACTTGCAACTGAAATGTGGTATAGACTGGACTTCTCCAGGGATACCTGTGTTCTCTCGTCTCTTCTTTCATCCTTCAAAGCCTTTGCAGTCAACAGGTCTACCTACAATTAGTAAAGTTAAAACATGCACAACAACACCCTGCAATAAGCAATCATCCCCCACGCCGGCCTCCCTGTGGAAGTAACTTTATTAAATCGCTTGCGCCAACAGCATCAATCAAAATACAATATAACCTTAAAAGTTTAAACAACTGACATACAACACTGTGAGAAAAAAAAAGTAATCTTCCATCCAGGTACCTGTCTGTGCTAGAGAAGGGAAGCAATAGCAAGGAAGAAATAGAGAGAATGCGGAAAAATAAAAGAGAAAGAGAACGAGGGAAAAAAATGGTTAAAATCCTTTGTTCATGAAACCTTTTATTAGCCCAATTAAACTATAAGTCCAGTCCAGTCCAGTCAAGTCAGTTGTGTTTAAAATTATCAAACCACCCCATTTCTCTTAAGCTTTGCTCAAATCCACTTCAGGCTAAGGGCGTCCCCCTTTTCTGGAATCTGTACACATTACAACGAAGAAAGAGAAAAAAAAATACTGTTGTTAAACCGATATATACAATATACAAGTGCAATGTCGGTTTGTAGGCTTCTGATTTATTCCACTTTTCAAATGTCGATGTGATTATCCTAAATGATCCTTTAAACGCTTCAGACTTACTACTTTTTTTAATTCAAATTATAAAACCTTAAGAAGTTATTTTTGTATATTTTGTAATGATCTAATCATTGTATGAACTGTTCCCTGTTAAGAGCAGCCTTCACCTACTGCCTCCACCTACCCCCTTTGAAACAGTTTTCTGTTTCAAATATGAAGTATTACCTTCTGTAATCCACTAACACCCAGTTTGAGTATTAGTTTCAGAACTATAAAATATGGTGTAGTTTTAATCTTTCCACTACTGTTATTCAACCCAGGTTTTGCAAACAAATAGCCAAATACAACACAAGCTCTCCTATAATTTAGCAAAGAGTTAACCATTAAATAAATTTCATCCCTTGTATCAAACCAGACCCACCAAATGTGCTCCTTCAAGGCAAAGACAACCATTCAGTATTATTTTAGAAAACATTAGTGAACTTCATCCAAATCAGGTCTCAGGCACCGGTTTCTCCTGAACGAGACTTCCTGACCTGTATAAACGGAAAGTTAAAATTAATATTTTGCTCAGGGGTGTGGAGCATTAGAGGTAATAAAACAATTTTCATCTCAGAGCAGTTGGAGAAGGGCGAATCATCTAGCACTCCCACATTAGTACTTCTGTGTCATGTTGTGTCACTTGTCTTAAAATGAGTCTATGTGAGTGATTATTATCAAAGCCAACTGTAGTTTTGATCACGACCCCAAAGCGCTTAGATGACCATCACAGACCAAATGTGGGGTTGACACCTCCGTCAGGCTGCAGTTGATGTTAGTGACCATGGACAGATTGACCACCAGCTCGTTCTTTCAGCCTTTCAGTCTTCAGTTTGTCTCCCTCGGTCTGGAGACCAGTTCAGCTTCGTGCAGCAGTTCATCTCAGCATACAGCAAGACTTGACTGGATGTTCTCACTGTGGACAAAGTCCAGGACCCCCTCTGGACAGTTAATTCAGTTCGCTGTTGGACTGTTAGATCTTTGAAAAGTCACTTTAATTGGCTGAAAAGTTCTTTGTTGTTGTGTCAGTGGTGCTTGGCTGACAACTTCTTTGAACCGTCCCATTGGTCAGTTTCACAGACCCAACTTCAACGCCCACCGGAACCCATTTGGATCCGATCCAGCCCCCGGCACCCGAGAGTCTTGATCAAAACTCAGATGGATGCTGTATGCATTTGAATGCTAACTTCTGTGTTTTGTGGGCCTAGTTAGACTCATCTTCCCACTCCAAAGTTCTGTCATCTCCGGCATGTACACCTCTTTGTCGTCCTTTTGTACTCCTAGGACCTGTGTGAAGTCTCAAGTCATAAAGTTAAAGCCATGGCGTTTATCCACTAGAATTGTTGTTGTCCCATAAATAACCTAGTACCGGCAGCTCTTAGAAGGAAACAGCTCCTATACGCTAAACATTTCCAATCTGTGATAACTCATGTGGACTGATTAATTTAACTCAAGTATTTCAATTTGAGTTTAGGTAAGGCTGATGAATTTAATCTAAGTTTTTCAATTTGAGTCCGG